TGAAATTTTCACAATAAAGAACTACTATTGAGACCTTCATTTATACAAAGTTTCAAGTCCAAATTAGAAAATGAGATTTTTTTCAATATCTCTGAGGGGGACCACATGAATTGGATTTCTCTATATCTTCACAATACAATATCTCAACAATAACAGAATTCGGTGAAAAAATCTTTTTAGAGCTTTTATCTACACTATGAGCTATACCTATAAGCAAAATATGACCTCAAACAGGAGGTATCACATCGAGAGGTTCTCTCGTGAATTGTTTTTTAATTAAATTTGTACTCTTTAATATATTTTTCAAAAAGATCTACCTCTGATCGTTCACAGACTCATGAGACATACCATCGGATTACTCGTATGTTTAGAAATGTAGTACAATATGCATGATGTACGAAGGACAATATAAAGTCCTTCTTATTTACATCGATAATTGATGATTTGTGAATAATAATAATAATACCAAATAATACAAACTGTTGCTATTGAATAAGACCTTGCAGAGCTTTTATCTTAATGATATACAATATATTATATCGTTGCTATTGCTGATAGTATGTAAACATATTAATTCTTCGAAAGAACCTAAAAAGACCGATGTGAAGTTTTGCAATAAGAAACGCTAGCGTTGATTTAGTAATCTAAACATAATTAGAATTTATTATCAATCAAGTATATGCAGAAAGATAAATCAATATGAATATAATTTTTATCGATATAAAAACAGATCAGTTGCCGATTGTGAACGTCGATGATCAGATATTGAATTTTGTTGATATTTATTCGATGTATGTTCTCGTTTCTGTCTTTCATTAACAAATATTAATTTATTATTATCATTAGGTATTCTACTATGAGATTGATCATTTGATAATGTTAAACCATGTGGATTGAATTCATGTATAACTGGACCACGTTGATTTATACCCATACGATTAACAAAATCTTTCATTTGATCTTTAGTTAAATAAATAGTCAATACACTATAGAAATAAAATATTTATGTTTTAATCAAGTTTAATATAACTTACGTTGCTATTATTACTATGAAAAGACATGGAATACTAAAAAGAAAAATTTTATTTGATAATATAGATTTAATTGAATTATTTTCCGATGATTTATGTAATTGTTGTAAACGATTTTCAATCGCATAAGTATCATTTTGTATAAATTGTTGAAAAAAATATTGCTCAGGTCGTATTATGAGAAATATAAAGAGTAAAAGTTTCATATTTCTAGATGAATTGATAGGTAAACTGAACTATTATTTAAGATATTTACTTGAATATTTTCTTACATATTAATAATGGCGCATATATTAGATTTTTTATATTCTTTTATTTTTAAAATCAAAAAAAAATCAAGAAACACTTTTTGCATGTCGTTGACAAAATTCAATAATTCGTTGACATGCTTCCTCCGTCTTCTCCATTGGTGTTGAAAGTACAATACGAAAGAAATTATCAATACCAAATACCTTAAAAACAAAATTGTATATAACATAAAAGAGAAAAATTAATTTACAGATGCAGGAAGACATGAAATTGATTCTTCACAAATTAGTTTCATAAAAAAATCTTTATCATCCGCGATATCATGAAACTCCGATGGATTTATACGAATAAGCATATACATAGCACCTGAAATCGATAAAAATAAAAATAGGAAATTAATTGAATTTATTCTACCTTGAGGCATTGTTGGTTGAAGACCAGGTGCTTCTAAAAGCGAACGATAAACATATTCCGCGTTGTTCTATAAAGATATAACTAATGGCAACAAAAAATTTAAATATAAAATTTTACTTGAAGTTGATTAAGAATATCATCATAATAAGAATCAGGCGTTTCAAAAAGAATGTGTGTCAGTGCTGCTTGTGTAACTGAATTTGGACCAAGAATACGACTTGATAAATCAGCAAGACCTGGTTTAATTGTATCTAAAAGATAGAGAGTAGTTTATATTCTATTTCCGATGAATATTTATATTTACCTTTAAAAAGATTGTGTCTGTCATGAATAACAATCCAACCTACACGCCATCCTGGACATATAAAACGTTTTGATAAGCCGCCACAAGAAAGTACGGGTACATTTTCGGAAAGTATACCCATAAAATAAAATTTATGATTCGAAAAAACCTTTAATAAAAGAAAAAGAATAATCATTTAACAGAATTTATATTTGTTACCATATCTGCATAAATTTCATCAGCAATTATTGGTAAATGATGTTTTTCACAAATTTCTATAAGTTTTCGTAAATGTTCTTCTGGATAAACAGCTCCACATGGATTACTTGGATTATTAATTAAAACAGCACGTGTTCGATCATTAATTAATGATTCAAGATGAGTTATATTAACTTTCCAATCATCGTCCGGCTAAATTAATATTTAAAACAAATGAAAAAAACTGTTTTTTTTTTTCTTCTTCTCAATTTCATTTACCAATAAATCATAAAATCGAGTTTCAATACCTAATGATTGACATAATGTAGTATATAATGAAAAACCAGGTTGAGGAAGAAGAATATTGTCACCTGGATCAGCTAAACAATCAATACACATTTCTAATGCATGAGAGCAACCACTAGTTAAAATAACATCCTAATGAAAATAACTTCCTATCAAACGATTATATTTATGTGCTTTGATTTACTTCTGGTTTTAATATATAATCCGACCGAGACCAAAATTTAGCAACTGCTCGTCGTGCCTCTAATGTACCTAGAAAACAAAAGAAAATCTACCAATATTTTGTTTACTATATAAATTACCAAATGATGGTGCATAACCATGACATGTAGGTAATTGTACTGCTTCAATAATTGCTTCTAAAGCTTCAACTGGTGGAAGCATATTTCCATAATGTGTTGGATCTCCTATTGATAATGAGATCATTTCTTTAGCTGGATTTGGAGTTATTTTCATTCGATCAACAATACGTCGAATAGGATTTATTGTATTTCTTGCACTTCGTGATGCTGGTACTGGTTGCCAAACATCTTCTATTCCACTTGTCATATGTTTTTCCATTGTATTTCTTATATTTTACAGAATCTACTATAAAATAAAACAATGACGTCATTTATTATGTTTAACATTTACATACTACGCATGTATATTTTTAAGCGCGTGAATTAAAATGCCTGTCATTGTTTGTATCAGAGTGTAAATAAAACATCTATAGTTATTCGCTGTTATCTACCTTTTGTTCGTTGCTTGCCCGTACATACTTAAAATTTTTCTTTTCTTTTAATTTTCTTCTTTTCGTTAAGTTCTGAGAGTAAGATATATTGTAAGCATCAAGATAATATATATGTATATATATATTACAAGGACGATATAAAAACAAAAGAGGTGTGGCCTGGAAAATTATGCGTGACTACTATATACAAAGGGATATTCTATATATGACTCATTTTTATAGAATAACTAAAATTTTTTTTTCTACTGTATTCAAAATAATGAAATGTTAAATTATACAAAGAAAAGCAAATGATTATTAACCGTCTAAATTTAGATAAGAAATAAAATCAAAATAGATAATAATATGACAAATATAGTTGAACTTTCGTACGTTCATAATTTTGTATAGATATTTTTTGTATTTATTACGAAATATTTAATGCTATTTAATATAGTTAGGCGAAATAATAAATACTTACTAGATCACTTTATATGATGCTTTTGATTTATATATATGTGATTTCTTATGATATATATATAGCGACGAATTTTCTCGTACATAGAAACAGAATGATAAAAATGACTAGATCAGTCTTTTTCTTTTCATATTAATAAGTAGAACAATAATAATCGAAAATAGAATGTAAAAACAAGGTTTTTTTTATTCACTGATATTCTAATGATTATTGTTAACATAAAAGAAATTAGTAATTCTACTATAATTAATTAATCTATTTTAATAAAATAAAAAAAACTTATATTTTAAATTGTTTCTTAATAAACTTTGAAATTAAATCAAATCCTTGTGGACTAATAATATGTGCGACGTCATCTTCTGCTAAAACTTCCATATTATCACCGACACCTTTCTGTTTAAGTAATTCAAGGCTAGCTTCAACATCATCCCATTTAAATATATCATCTTTTTTTCCATGTATTGATAAAATAGGTATTGTTTTGCTGTATTCACTTATTTTTTCTAGTAGTTTTTCTTCCTTTATAAAAATACCACCACAACATATAATACCACCTAATTGTTGTTTGGAATATGTTAAACCAGTTGTTAATGATATACAACCACCTTGGCTAGAAATAAATTATTTTAAGATTTTTCTTAATTAGAAAAATTATATAACAATACCTAAATCCTCCAATAATAATATTTGATGCATTTTTAACAAGTTTTATTTCATCATCAATCAGTTCTTTTAGTTTTTCCATTATTATTGTACCTTCTTCTACACATGCATCATCACGTTCCCACCAACTTTCTAAATAATATTGACGACCTAGAATAGTTACCCATCGTTTCGTTGCTTTTGGTAGTATAATTCTTGTATTTGGTGGTTGCATTTTAATAAATACTTCTGTATAACCATCTGCATTACCACCTAAACCATATATCCAAATAATTGTATAACGATGCACGCCTTTAGATGGAATAATTTGCGCATTTTCAATCAATTTTTTCGTTGACGATGCAGCCATAGAGCCTATCGATGAATAAAGATAATTTAATCGATTATATATACAATACAAATAGGTAAATGATCAATCATTATCGACTCACATGCGTTTTTTGACGATGTATTATGATAAGAAAAAAGAAAAATAAATCGATAATATCACTATTATGAATATGATTGGAAGATAGCTTGAGTGCATAGACTGTTATAATTTTTAAATGGCGTGTCATCGTTAAAACTTCTTTATTTTTCAATACAAAAATATCGTATATAGATCGGTTAGGAGACAAAGAACAGTTCATGATAATATACATGAATCAGCGTTTCGTAAATTGGGTAAGAAAAACATCACGATATCATTGAATGGGATACTCCTTAAGCTTCTGCATGACAAAGTATATCATGGTTGTTAGTAGTTTGTAAAAATTAAAATTTTGCTTTATATTCTTAACAGTCAATTAATTCGATGAATTCTAAATTGATTATTATTATATGATAAAGGGTGGATCCTGTAGGAAGATATTCGATTTTTACGATACTTTCTGTTGAAGTTTATAGAAATGTTAGTATTTTTTATATGAAGTGCTTGAAACGACTTCTCCCAGAGATAGGATTTCTCACTTTGCTTGACTTATCGATTGATATGAAAATAAATTGGCTAAGTATGTTTGTGACGCTAATCAGAAAATCGAAAAATTGCGGTTTCTAGGAGGATGAGGAATGCAATTTTTTTATCAGTTATAAATATTCTTTTGTTTCAATGTTGGTTTATGTATCAAAAACGTAAAATATATTAGACTTGTTAGAAACGAGATACAAAATGGATTTTATTTATATTATTATGGTAAATTTCCTATAGAAGTTTAATCAACAATTGATGAAATAAAACTAATAGTAAAATGTTTTCTTGGATTTGAAAAATGATGTTGACGATGATGAATTGAACATTTTTTCAGATAATTTCCAATTAATGGAATTTTTGATATATCTGTTGGTGTATAAGCATGAATTAAATAATGAACTGAATCATATCGAATATAATTAATTAGTAGACCAGCACATAAAGCATTTGGATCTGAGAATTGAAGAATATTAAAAACAATCCATACAATAAAAACTTGAATGCCTAATTCATGTATAGGTGAAAATACATGCCATAAATCAGTTGGAGCAACATGATGAATACCATGTAAAAAGAAATGAAAACTTTGTGTACGATATCCAATAACAGGTAAATGAAATAGAAAACGATGAAATAAATATTCAAGTGGAAACCAAAAAATAAAACCAATTGAAGTCCAATAAAATCGTATTAATGTCAATGGCATTATTAAATAATAGATAGCAAAAGGCCAGAATAAAAATGGTAAAAATGGTGGAGATTTTGTTAATATCATATTCCAAAATTTCGTTTTATATAAACGAACTTCGTTCACATGTTCAGTTTTATTTGAATAAACCCATTCTTCATATTGTTCAGGTGTTAAATTCATAGCATCTTCTTTTGTATAATATTTTTCACCCGTTAATTGATCAATATGAGGTGTTGGAAAACAAAAGACCGACATCGATTTATTAGTAACCTCAAGAACAAAATTATTACAATATCAAACTATTCATCTTTGTTTTCTTTTTTTCTATGACGAATAAATACGAGTCATAATGATAAAGCAAAGATATAGACAACACACTAGAATTTGTTTATCTGTAATTTTTATTTAAATGCATATTTTTATGAGTATGAATGCAATATTAATCAGAAGTCATATCAGTAGAAACTTCAACTAGAACAAAGAGTATAATGAGTCATCATGTAATTTTGCTAGAGCTAAAAGTATGATGAAATAATCTTATCAAGAGAGTTTATTTAACTAAACTAATGTTTTTAGATAAAATCTAAAAAGAACATTTTATAATTTAAACTGTTTAGTAATAAACATAACAATTAAATGTAATCCTTTTTCACTAATAGTATGCCCGACTCCATCTTCCACTACAACTTGTATATTATCTTTTACGCCATTTTTTTCTAATAATTCAAGACCAGTTTTTGTAACATCCCATTTAACCCGGTTATCATCTTTACCATGATATACCAAAATGGGTACTTTTGTTGCATATTCACCCATAAGTTGTGATATTTTATCACGAAATGGGACGTCACTACCACAGCATATAATACCACCTAATTGTTGTTTATAGTAATATAAACCAACAAGCAATGACACACTACCACCTTGACTAGAAATAAATTATATTAAATTTTTCTTTTCGTACCCAAATGAAATATATATATATAAATACCTAAAACCACCAATAATAATATGAGATGCGTCTTTGACTAGTTTAAGTTCTCCATCGATTAATTCATTTATCGCTTCGTTTAATTGGAAAATTTTCGGAATATCAGTTCCTTCAGCTTCATACCAGCTTCGTAAATAATGTTGACGGTCTTGAATAGTAATCCATTGTTGTGGTGCATTTGGTAATACAATTCTTGTATTTTGTGGTTGTATCTGAGTAAATATATCCTTATAAGTATCTGAACTATTACCAATACCATGAAGCCATATAATGGAATATTTATGTGTGCCTTTCGATTCAATAATATGTGCAGTGTCAATCAAATTTTTCATTGAAGCAGCGACAGCCATAGCTTATAATATTTATCGAAGTAAATACAATGAACTATGCATACGATACAGGTAAGTAAACGATAGATATTCATCGATTCACACGTGGTTTTTTTACGTCGTGTATTAAGATACGAAAAAACAAAATAAGAACGATACTTTACCTGACATGAAAATGATTGGGGATGGTAATAATGATTAAATGCAATGAGTTTTAAGATATCCTGTTATATTATCTTCTCATCATTATATAAATGTAATATTAAACACAAGTCATATCAGTAGAAACTTTAACTAGAACAAAGAGTATAATGAGTCATCAAAGAAATTTGATACAGCTGAAAGTATGACGAAATAATCTTATCAAGTATTATATGAAGTTTATCTTTCAATGGATATTTTTTTGAAAAGCATTAGTGGAATTTATTTAACTAAATTAATCTTGATCGAAAAAATCAAAAAAAGAATTTTTTATAATTTAAATTGTTTAATAATAAACATAACAATTAAATGTAATCCTTTTTCACTGATAGTATGTTTAACTCCGTCTTCTACTACAACTTGTATATTATCTTTTAGACCATTTTGTTTTAATAAGTCAAGACCAGTTTTTGTATCATCCCATTTAACTCGGTCATCGTCTTTGCCATGATATACTAAAATGGGTACTTTTGCTGCGTATTCACTTATAAATTGTGATATTTTATCCTTATAGGCAACGTCACCACCACAACATATAACACCACCTAATTGTTGTTTTGAATAATTTATACCAACAAGCAATGATAAACTACCTCCTTGACTAGAAATAAATTATATTAAATGTTTGTTTTTGTACTCAAACGAAATATTTATATAACTACCTAAAACCACCAATAATAATATGAGATGCATCTTTGACCAGTTTAAGTTCTCCATCGATTAATTCATTTATTGATTCGATTAGTTCTAAACCCTTCTGAGCATCTTTTGCTTCTTCTCCATACCAGCTTCGTAAATTATGTTGACGACCTTGAATTGTGATCAATTGTTTTGGTGCATTTGGTAGTACAACTCTTGTATTTGGTGGTTGTATCTGAGTGAATAAATCTTTATAACCATCTGAACTATCACCAAAACCATGAAGCCATATAATTGAATATTTATGTGTGCCTTTCGATTCAATAATATGTGCAGTGTCAATCAAATTTTTCATTGAAGCAGATACAGCCATAGCCTATAATATTTATCGAAGTAAATACAATGAACTATGCATACTATACAGGTAGGTAAACGATAGATATTCATCGATTCACACGTGGGTTTTTTACGTCGTGTATTAAGATACGAAAAAAACAAAATAAAAACGATACTTTACCTGACATGAAAATGAGTGGGGGTAGTAATAATAGTTAAGTACAAAAAGTTTGATCGTGTTGATATTACAATGTACAATAATCAAGCTTATAAATGTACTATTTCGATACTCATTGAATAGATCATTTTTTCTTATCGTATAAAATATTGATACAGATGACATGCAGTAAAAAATGCAATTCAATGTACTTTTTACATTTAACGATAAAAATTATCATAAGTGATATGTTGTATAAGGATTTTTATTTTATTAATCACTGATTATCAGTTATATATATATCTCTTTATTAAACAGTATTTCATTATATCAAATAGAGTTAAAATCTTGTTATTAAATAGTCCCAATCATCATTGGATACTAGAAGATTAAATGATGATGAATTATCAAGAATATGTGTACGAAATGCATGCCAACTTATTTTTGAATTTTGATTGTTAAAATTACCACGTGTTAAAATCGTATTGATTCTTTCGGATAAACCATTATTTGGTATGGGAATATCTAATAAATCAAACATATTAATTAGAACATTTTCAAGTTGTTGTCGTGTTAAATATTTTTGTTTATCTTTATCATATAAACTTAATATTAGTTTAAGTTTATTTTCACTTGAACCTTGATTAATTAATATATTAAATTGAAAAAATTCTTCGAAATCTAATTGTTTATCTTGATTTATATCTAATAAACGAAAAAGTCGTTTGACGATAGATTTTGTTGGACGTTTATCTTTTCCATTTTTAATTTGTATTTGATGTAAATAAAATACAAATTCTTTTGAAGAAAGACCACGAGGATAACAGTGTTGAAATCGTTCATACCATTCTTCAATCTCTTCTTCCGGTAAATGAAATTGTTTACTTAATCGTTTAGTTTGAGCTGTTTCTAATGGTGCAGGAAGACGAGAACGAAATAGACTTTTCATCTATAATAAAATATTATTTGATTCTGTTCGATTATTCAGAATAAAAAAACAACTGTGCACAATATTTTTGCAGTCTTAAGTTACCTATATTAAATATTGACTAAAATTAATTCTTTATAAATAAAGATCGACAAAAACAACCGTTTGTTTTTATACATATTAATCGAACAAAACTTTCTTTCGTGACGATAAAAACCTACATTATTCTTATTAAATATACTATCTAAATATGAATTTTAAATAAGCACACATTATACTCCCTTAATGATCGATCATATTCCTATGTTTTTGCTTTTTTTTTATATGAAACTAAAAAACATGTATATTTAGATTGTTTTTCTAGTGATGTATGCATAAAAAATATTTGTTTCTTTCATTCTCCGTCTTATTTTCTTTCTTTTCTTTTTCAGGCTTACCATTCTGTTGTTTTTATTACCTATAAACTTCATAGAAGCATGTATATTGCAAAAGGGAATATTATTTATGTCATAGATATTTGCAAAGGATAAGAACGTACGGGAAGTGTTAGAATAAGGTTAGTCCGTTATTGTCTATCATATAAAGTCGAACGAAATTGAGTCATGAAATTTAGTGATTTCAAATAGAGTATAGTCATGTCAATATTTTTGCACGCAAACAATTCAATAAATATTAAAGGACATGATGAAATATTTCAAAAAAAAACTAAAAGTACATACTATATTTTTTTTTTGAATACGTAACGACAACAAACTTACGATTCAAATGATGCATTACATTTTTAATGGTTTGTTTACCACTACATATGATAGTTAGAGAAAAATTCTATATTGTAAACCGTATTCTTGTCGATAGTATTTGATTATAGTAGTTCTCAAACATTTGTTTATTTTCCTAAGTCAATAGTCTGATTTATTCTGTCATATATGAAAATAAAACTTATTCAAGACGGAAAAACTACGTCATGATAGCCAAAAATAAATTAAAAATCTCGATTTCTTGGAAATAGTTCAAATATATAAGAATTAACTTTATTTAAAGTTGTTTTTAGGTATGTGCCAGTTCCTCAAGTCATTTAAATGCGCCATCGATCAGACTATACAACGTTATTGTTAAACTTGGAAGAATTAAAACGGAAGGAAAAAAGGACTGGGGGTGATTGGTAAAAAAATCGGAAGTTATCAGTCACCCCTAGTCCTTTTTTATTTCCGTTTAAATCTTTCAAGTTTGACAATAACGTTGTATAGTTTGATCGATGGTGAATTTAAATGACTTGAAGAACTGGCAAAAACTGGGTGTTTTACATAGCAAATATTATCTATGTTTGTCATCGATTTTATAGAATTGGTGCATGCCTAGTTGTTTTCAAGATGATTTACAATAATCTAAACTAATTGTTTTCATATAGATACGCGATATATCAATCTACTCTTGTTCGATTCTACTGAAGCATGATTTTGTTTCAGAATCTTAATTGATCAAGAAAAGACTATTAATATCAATGAATACTTGATATATAGAATAAATGATCTCTAATTGTATTAGTCATATTATATTGTCAATTTTTCATTCAATAATTTTTCTTTAGCAGTTGTGTCGATGATTCTTGTTCATGAGAAAAATACTATACAAACAACTGGAAGAACTGAGCACTTATACATAAATATAAAAACTATAAGAAATCATTTGCAAGTTTTGACTTTTGTCTATAATTTTTAAAGTTTATATAACATAACGGATGATAAAAGAAATACAACTGATCCAGCAACCCAAGCAAAACTTCCGTGACTAGCATAATCTGGTCCAGCTAAAAAGAATGCACCACCAATAAGAAAACCAATTGAACCTAATAATGCTATGAACACTACTAGCTTTACCAAAGAAAACTTTGAAGATTTCATTTGCTCACGAATAAGAAACCATACATAACTCAATACAGATAAAGTTGCTCCACAACGAAAAAGCCAGTTTCCTACAAGTACACCGCAATGACCATAGGTAGGATAAAATGCCGCTGAACCAACTATAAATAATATTCCACTGCAACATCCAAGAGTATGTCGACAGAATGATATAGCTAAATCTAAATCCAATGGTTTTGAATCATTAACTACACCAGCTTTACTAGGTTCAAGATTCTGAAAACACATAAACAGTTGTTGTAGTGAAGAGAAATAAAATAAAACGGAACCAAAAACAAATGTTAAAACACCAGTTTTATATAATGAATTAGTCACGGAAAAATGCGGATGAAAGAAAATTGAACCGATAATAAAAAGAATTGAACCAACTATATTTAATAATATATTTGTATGTAATTTCCAATTTATATTTATATGCATCTTATTTCAATACTTAATTAAATGATAAATTACTGATAAGAATAATATGATCGACGTGTATTTTATTATTCAAAATATAATGTAAATACAACCGAAAATCGATTTAAAATCGTTCGAAATTATGGAAAGTATCTGAAATGAAAAGAATTATTTGAAACTATAGGAATGAAGAAAAAACGAAGATACTACACGCCGTGATATAATAATGACAATGTATTAGTAAAGAACAGAGATGGGCAACTCCGGGGGTAAGCAACTCCAACTCCACTCCAACTCCATCTCGTTTCTCACAACTCCACTCCAACTCCATCTCGTTTCTCACAACTCCACTCCAACTCCATCTCGTTTCTCACAACCCCACTCCAACTTCATCTCGTTTCTCACAACTCCACTCCAACTCCAAGGAGTTAAAGTGTCAACTCCGGAGTCGGAGTTGCCCATCTCTGGTAAAGAATGTAGAACTTCTCTATTCTTTACTCCAATATGAATGCAGCAAGGTATTGTTTGGACTTTAAACAAAGACACCATCGATAACCCTACGATCTTCAGGAACAACATATACGTCATTTTGATGATAAGAAGCAAAAAAAACTACTGAAATTTGATAGGTTGACGAATCGAATTTCAATAGAGGTTTTTCCTCTTATTACCAGGACAAAACATTATTACTCAATCCATACGCAAGAGTATCTTCGATAACCCTATGATCTGTTAGAACAACAGTATGTTTTGTTCTGATAATAACAGAAAAACTCCATATTAGAATCTGATTGGCTAACCTATCATCAATGAAATATCAGCCGATTTTTGCCCTGTTATTATCAAGACAAAACAAGTTACTGGTCGAACTGATCATTAGGTTGTCGAGGATGCTCTGCGAGATAATCCTAGCAGTACTGTAACACGTTTCTATTAGAGTAAAGAAACGAGTAAACAGCATATGCTCCAAGTATACTGAACACAAGATTGCGCATGTAAAAAAAATAATCAAAAAATTCAATTTTAATTATTAATTTACTGATAAATAATCACCCATGACTCACTACTTTTGATTATAATCGATTCGGAATTAAGTAAAGAACGATGATAATCGAAAATATAAAAAATAATCGATTATATGATGATTTTTTGATGATTATTGCTATGTAAATAAATGATTAAAATAGTATGATTGTAACGGATTCAAAATCAGATTTTTTTTCGGATTATAAACGGAAATTGTTTTACATGGGTTATATCATTATATTTCTAACCAAACGATATCATTGAAAACCATATGAAACCATAGAGACTGATGTAGTGACACTGATCATTCGGATTATTCGCTAGTGTCATTCTATCCATTCATATACATGTGTTTTTTTTCCTTTCTTTTCTATGGAGATATTCCAGTGTCATCATATATATCTGCATATAATCGTTTCTGTCACTGTATGTTGTCCTTCCAGTCATCTCTTCTTATACGTATTCATATACGTTCTTCTATATATATATATATATATATAATAAACTTGATATCTTCATATCTCGTTTATTCTACGTTTACCACGGGACGTGGTAGAGATACCTAGAAATCAGTCTTTTCCTTTGAGGTAAATATTAAAAAACAAACCACTGAAACATTGTCTTGTATAATTATTGATATTGTATTACAACAAAAAAAAACATTGAGAGGAAACTGTTCGACATATACTTTTTATTTGATAATTAATTTAGCGTGCTCGTGAAAGTTATCTTCAGAGTGTATCATTTTGTTTGATCACGTATTTGAAAGAAAGAATATTAGTATCTACCTAAATATCTTCTAGACACGTTTTGAACGTAACTTAATCTCTCAATAATTATTTTTCTAATTTCTATTAATTAAGTTGACGTTCAAGTTATTAATATTTGTGGAACTTTGAAAAAAAATAGTTCAACAAAACAGTAATATTAACTATGATATTTACACATTTTTATTATTAAAAGAATAATTGAAACATTTGACAGGGATACTTGTGAACATCAATTTGTCATATCATCATTCATAAAAAAATTTCCAGGTAAAAAGACTTTTTTCTCTACGTCATCTTGTTTGAGAATGTTCATTCTTTTTAACCAGGTCTGAGAACTAGATACATGAAGCATAAAATATCATATCACATAATATAAATATATAATAAAAGAATGGAGAAAAAATCTATGCCAAATGTGAACTAAGCCATAAGAGTCAATGACGCACGAGAAACACTTTAATCCCAATTAACCATTGAAATGTAACGCTACAAATACTATTAGTTCTTTCCTTCCTTTGAGTATTCTGTCTGCAATAGTTTTTTTTTTCAGAAATTTCCGGATAAAACATAAACATTTCGAATAAGCTATTCATATATATATATGTCTGACCTTATGTCTTTCCTGTGAGTTCTTTACAAAAATACTCCATATGTTATTCATAAATATAAGTAGAAGGTAGGTATGTTTATTATGTCCTATCATTTATTGGATACTATATCTCTCAATAATTAAATCATTAATTACTCCGGTACATGATAAAATTTTGACTCTTTTTTTTTCTTCAAATATACATTTAGTTTTCTTTATAATCTTCTATAAAATTATCTGGTTAAGAGACACTCCTATACATGTTATATGTCCTCAGAATACACAATAAATTTAATTTCAATAAATAATAAAATATGGTTAAATATATCTAATGGATTGAAAATAATACATTAAATTTATGGCTTTATTTATTTTAGCATAAGTAATTTTCCTATTATTTAAATATATGAAATATATAAGAGCGAATATAATGTGGTAAAAAAAAAGTTATGATTATTCCGCTAATATTTTTGTTTTTAATACACTGAGAGTACTGTATTATTTGAAGGGTATTTTATTATTCTAAGGACATTTTTATATAGAAGTTTAATGTTACCGATATATTATTTTAACCTATATAAACTATTCAAATTACACAATTCATATATGGAACATATTAGAAATTGATCAGTTACATATTCCAAAATCTAGATTGATAGATAAACAAAAATCCATTTAATAAAGAGAAGTAAGACAGGGACCTTTAGAGTTAACCATTAATGAAAAAGATCAAGACATATTGAATCGTATAATGTAGAATTCTATAATAAGCCATCTGCAGTTTTCTTGAGAAAACAACGGAAGATTAGTTTCTTATTTGATGAGAAAAACGCTCGAAAGTCAGAAAATTAGTTTTTAGAATTTCAAGTTTGTACTTTGCACTAATGTCGTTTTAATTCCTCACATAAACTAACAAAAATTATCTTATAATACACAACACAATACGCCTTCATCTTCTCTTTCTAACGATGTAAAGTGTACCTTTCTTATCAGAAAATATCTATTCATACTTTCTGGAAATCAAGAATTATTATAATAGACATCAATTATCTATCTTTTTAAGCGTTTTTAATAATGATACATTCTTTTTCACACACTGCACGATTACAATTGTCATTAAAAAGAAAAAATCCTGGAAAATAGGTAGTTCATTTGAAAAAATGTTGACAGTTGAGTTAATGATGCATAATTGATAAAACGAGTATTTAGATTTGTATAAAAGGAAATTTTGAAAATCTAATATTTCAAAACTCTGTTACTTCAAGAAGAAAAGGTAATTTCCTGTTTTAGAAATCTGAAGAATATTTTATTATGAAGAGATATATACACAGACTAGAAAATAATTGTTTTTTCATACTAGCACTCATTCGTGTGTATTTTAACCAGAGGTGATTTAGTATGTTATAACTCATGAAATATAACTTCCCTTTTGTTTTCTTGCGATAAATAGATCACAATTTCTCAAGATTGAATCGGTTGGTATCTTTCCTTTCTTTTTTCAACAATGTGAGTACATCTATGCACAACATTTATAATTTCTGATAGAACTATTTTCTGTAGAATATATAATTCACATTCACTCTCAAGATGGTTATCGATATCCATGCTTTTTCTCGAAACTATTCTGAGACTCGCCTATTTAATCTGAAAATAGTAATCCAAGTAATCTTCTCAATATTAAAACTTGAAATGAGTTCGAATCCTAGATACACGGCCGTTTATAGGTCAATACTTGATGAATTACAGTCATCGCATAGGAGACACGAATATAACTAGGTCACAGGATTGGATCCTCGTACTTTTATATAAACTATGATGACTGCATCGCATTTATGCGTAACTGTGACGGATTCTTAAAACAAGTGATGGGTGTGAGTCATTCCACATATTCAAAGAGAAGTTATATACAGATAAAATATCAAAATTAATGATAAGATATTCGTTCGCCTGTTAGTTATGAATATTTTCGTAAAAAACATGATCAGAATTAATCAATATTGAGAAATCTGAATTTTGTAATTATTTTTTAGCAATCATTAAGTTATTCATGTTTCTATAAAACATGACTAAAAGTAATGTAAGTTAAGAAATTTGAATTTGTAATTATTTTTTAATAATTATGAAGCAATTGACAGTTATTAATTAATATCTTTATAGAGCGTGAGCAACGATAACGGAAAATGGACGTATTTGAATTATTCATTCATTTTTAGTAATTAATTTCTCTATGGAAAGATGAGTTATGCACAGAGCAGATACAAAAAAAAACCGACCAGATATGTGTTTGTTTGTTTCACAACAAAAAAAAAATGTCGAACGATTAGTACACGGAAGGAATTACAATTTAAAGAGGAAATCGATATGTTCTCTTTCTAATGCTTCAAAATCTCTTTTTTGATACTGCATGTTAGCAGCATTCCCAGAAAATCGTAGTTATCCCCGAAAATATCCCAGAATCTATGCGAAAGTGCGTCCAAAATAGCTTACTAATGATAATTACTACTTTTTTCTATCGCTGCCCAAGGAAAGACTGACAATGTCCAGGCTAACCAGTCCTCCCTGCTAGTTACACTACTACTTCATGCTGATTTTTCGTGGCTCATATTAAAAGCAGAATAGAGATATAGTATTGGACTCACAATCTATCTTGGTATCGTAGGATCTTCGAAAAATTTAATTCACGTTAAATGATCATCAAAGTAATCTAAGAAGTTTCGACATGTTGTAGAATTCTATGGTAGTATTTATAAAACGCGATATCTATGTAGAATTGTTCTGTCTTAACGATAATGCCCTACATCCAGAAGGAACACTTTAAAAGAATTTTTTTCATCAAAACATCATTAGAAGTATGAAAATATTTAAATTATTTAATCAATCTTTGCTCGATTTATATGACGTAAGAAATAAATCTGCTTGAGTCACTTCTTGTACGTACATGAATCAAAAAGTGATGATAAAAGTTCGCTTTCAATAGAGGGCTTAATGACAGTTGCGAGATATTACTTGTTATATTACATCCTGAGCATTGAATTTTTGGAGGCGGAATAAGTTCCGTATATCAAAAGAAAAAATGCTCATATATGAAGTCATTAGAGAGTATTAAATTCTAAGCGCTTGAATACTTTTTTCCATAATATCATATTGTTTTCAAAAAAAAATTATTAGAATAGATTGCATGAATATTTTAGTATAAAACTGTATTCTTCGTGACGAATTTCTTTTTTTTTCTCTAGTATCATGCAGAAAATACACTTTGTTTTATTAAGAGGGATATTTATAGACATTCTATTCTGATGAAAAATAATCTATTATAACTCGAAACATGTTTAAAGACGCTCTTTAATGATGATGACGGTATACTTTGCGCTCGAATAGTGCAAAACAAATCTTCATCAAGAATGATAGATGCATGTATTCTAAACGTATTTCTTAAGCATACTTCTAAGATAATTATTTTTTAAATATAGCAAAAATAGACATTAACTTATAAAAATCATCATCTGAAGAACAAGACAAAAAAAATGTAATTATCAAAGCTTTTGATAATTTCAAGAACTCTTTCAAGCAGTGTCTTATTTTTTTTTAATGATTATAGAATGCATATGTCATAAGAGAAATAAGTTTTATTAGAATCATTCGCATTGATAAATGTTATAATGAAGATATATTATCTTTTTTATTTAATAATGATCTCACACTAATAATTATTTAGATGGATTATCTACTTTGATGTTTTTTTGACCTACTTTTAAATATATAATTTTTCAATTAAATCGAATACGTTATTTAATAGATATTACTTTCATAAAGAGGATTATATATATTTAATTATGTAGAAAAACTTTATTGGTAATTATTTTTCCTGGAATAAGAACATCGTAAAAAAATAAATGAATCATAATCATATTTTATATATTATTGAATATATATAGTACTGTGTTACCTATTTAATTTTTCTTTCCTGACTTATATTCGCTTCGATTATACTTGAGTTTTTTTTTCCTATAAATTATTTATTCGTCGATAGAATACGTAAACTAATTGTTAATATCATTGGAAATGGAATTTATCATATTTCGCAATAGAATATGTAAATAGTTTTCTTTATAATATTAAGATAAAAAAAAATAAAGAAGCACTTAGAATTTCATTTATAGATATAGACGACTATCGTGACGAAATCCTACTTATTTCCGGCTAAAAAAATATGGTTTTAAGCTTTGTATGCAAGTAGCGAGAACGAGATTTCCTACATGATTGCATAAAAAAAAGAGCTATTTCTTCTTCCTTCCTTTTCATTCTTTAGTTTAAAGAACCATAAATAGATCTACACATGAATCAAACAGTTGTACTTTTAGTAGAAATAAACTATGACTTATACAAATAGTTTAATATTATTTTTTATAATACATTAAAAATCAATAGACTATATTAAATAAATAAGGTAAGATCTCAAAATATATATTTTATAAATAGAATACAACTCATCATTATATTTCATAAGTCTTTGATGTAATAGAAAAAAAAAGTTCAATCATTTGCGAAACAAAGAGAATTGTTAAGACTATTTTTACTTAGATAGACAACTTTTAAGTATTCTTATTTTGACAAGATATACGAATAGATTATTTTATAAAAAAGAAAATAATTGATCAAACAAATTATAAATTAATAATAAACATATTTTACAGATTTGATTATGCTTGTCTGTTAAATGATTAATCACAATGTACTTTTGTTTTTTCTTTCTCTAGTTATTAAATAATGTCATCAGCATTAATTCATACATATTTATTATCATCTGTTGAAACAAATTCATTACTATTATCACACGTTCGTACTATAATTAAATTTTATATATGGCCATTACTTGTTTTATTTGGTTTAACTGGTAATTGTTTATCCATACTTGTTTTAACTCGACGTCGTCTTATAAGAACAAGTACAAATAACTATTTAACAATCTTAGCTTTATTTGATTCATGTTATCTAATATTTACTCTACTACTTAATTTTGCATCACATCCAAAATTTTCTCAATATTCATTTACACAAACATTGTTATATCTCTTACGTCCATTAGCTGATTTTTCTTCAAATACAGCTACATGGTTAATTGTTTGTTTTACACTTGAACGTACATTAGCTGTTGCTAAACCAATCTATGCTAAACGTACATGTTCAGTACGACGTTCACGTCGTGTTATATGTACTCTATTAATAATGTGTTTTTTAGTTACATTACCGACATTTTTCGAACGAAATTTAGTACGTGAAGATCATAATAATGATATAACGGAAACAAATAATTTATTAAAACATAAAGATTTCTTTCTTCATCTTCATCGTGTATATTTAGTATTTATATGTATTGTTATTATATGGATACCACTTCTAGTACTTTGTGTATGTAATTCAATTCTTATATGGTATGTGAAAAGATATTATTTCTCATTAGTTTCCTTTTCTTTCCTTTTTTTTTAATAATGTTGAAAGAAAAATGTATTCATCCATGAATGACAATCCTTTTATTGATTGAAATTGTTCGTAAGGAACATTTTCCACATGATATATACTGACAAGGGTAAAACTATATGGCAACTTTCTCTTCGATGATTTTTATCTCAAAAATTGACATATAATCACGAACAGGATCATTAGCTGTAGGACACAAAATCTTGAACTCGATGTTACGGGAAATATTATTTCAAAAGTTCATGAGTCAAATTATTAATGATAATATTCATGTAGTCAGATAAAAATAGTCTATCTTAGAGTTTTGTAGATAAATGTATTTCTATTTATTGTCTATTCTAATATAATTTGTTGTTCTTTTTATCGTTATTAAATTACAATATATATATAAGATGATTTAATATACATATATTGTTTTTTACGTTTCTTTAGACTTATTGCATAGAAAACTATTCATGAATGCAATATAATAGAAGAGAAACAATTGATTTCGATCATGAAATTGAAAACTTTCCTAATAATTACATTAGAATAAATGATAAATATTAATATATATTTTTTTCCATGAACTCACGACTTATATCTATTTCTGCAAGTATTAGCATATATGACCCGAACTCATTGATCTAGTGTTATTAAATTATAATTGCTTGTTTAGAGTCTTAGAAAAAGAGATTGACTTATAAAGAGAATAATCCTTTGTAAACTTAGGCATGATGAGATATATGAAATTAAAGAACAATCTCGAAATATCATAAAAAATAATATTTATCCCTTGGTTTTCTTTACATAATTTAAGCATTGGAATAATATGAGAAACTTCATGAATATTATAAATTAATATATGAATTATAGCAAACTGTCCCTAGGGGTTAAACTTAATTAAAATATATTCATATTTATTTTTCCGTAAGTGTTTCCATAAGCACTCGCGATCAATTAGTTTAACTCATTCATTTTCTTGCATTGAAAACATTTAGTAAAAACTGACTAGATCAATTATTACTCTCTAATGATCTAAGAAAATTAGCAGAAACTATACAATATATTTTAGTATTAAAAATCTGTTCATTATACACTTTTGATATTCCTAGGTATGTTCATCGTTCCCGTCATTTTGATGATGACATACAATCATCAAACACTTATGATTCTGATCAAAATTCTTCAAGTTCAGTAAATAAAACCGAATATTCCACAACAAATCGTCGTCGATCATCATCATCTTCAGTAAATATATCAAATTCATTTCAATTACGTCGGCATAGTCGTTCCGTACTTCGAAAACGTCGTGTAACTATTGTATTAATATTTTGTTTATCTGTTGCACTTTTATTATGGACACCACAAAGTTTATCATTAACATATGAAACATTAATTGAAAATTATTCAAATATGTCAGAAGAACATCGAGTTATTTTATTAATATTTAATAATTTTGCAAATTTATTTCTTTGTATTAATGCATCAATTGATTTAATACTTTATTGTTTTTTATCAGAAAAATTTGCAAGAACATGTCGACAAATTATATGTCGACAATGTTCAAATAATCCAACACAAATCGGACCACGTCCTCGTTTAATGTCAATTGATCGTACATCCTATGCTATGGCAACTTCACCTACAAATCATCAACAACAACAATTAGCAGCTAATAGAACTAATAAATATTATGTACAATTATATGATTTTTATCGAAATTCATCGGGTTTAAAAAAGAATGAAAATAAAAAATGGAAAAAGAAAGTCGTTCGAACAATAGCACCAAATACTAAATGTGATAATCAAATATTTTATCAAAAAAATCTATCGAATAATAAACAAAAAATCGTTCTATTCAAGTCATATAATAAATCAACAAATATCATTCCAAATCCAGTATTAGTTTCTATAGATGAAAATACTATAAATAATGATGTGAATGATTCAATTAATACTTTACCAATAAATTCAAATGGAAAGATCTAATCTCATGCGTAATATTTAATGTTTATTGTTGTTGTTTTTCTATTTCAAATAAAATATTTATCAATATACTTATATGTTGAAACAAAGCAGAGACAAATAGACGTGCAGATGTTGTATTGTAAAGTCTGAGTTAAATATAATCAAAGCTTTTATGTTAATTTTGTACCCCTAGAATTTTGTCATTGTTATTTCTTGGATTAAAAAAAAACTAACTGTACGGTGTTTAGGAATTGAGGAAAATTATTTTATAAGATAAATATCACAGTGCAAAACGATTGCTCTGTTTCTTAATCATAATAATACACCTTCTTGGCAATCGATCGTGTCTATTTGATTATATGCATTGATTAGTCAATTTATTATTGACATCATCCGATCGATAAGAATATAATAAATATAAAATCAAATTTAGAAACAATACTTTCCAGTAGGATTCACATTTCATAAAATAAGTTAATAATTAGAACTGATAAAACTATATATTCATATCCATATCATCTAACAGAAGTATGAATTCAGCTCATTCATTAAGTGAATTGATATTGTTGACATACAGTGAACTATCATCCCTTTAATTTCGTCAATATTCTTGTAATCCGATCAGTAGGAAACATTCCGAGATATTACTATTGAATAATTCATTTATTTTCGAACATTTAAAACAATATACAAAGCAGCTGCGATCCTGAGCGATTGAAATTCTTCATTTTCTGTCGAATTTAATCTATAATTTCGATGAACACAGTAGAGTATTATTGTGTTAGCGTTTTATATTAATCTATTGTAACGTTTTTTGAATGGAAAGCATGGATTACATCTCTGAATATAGCTAATCAATTGAATAAGAAATTATATATAGTTTATTCACACAATACTCTTATCAATCTGATTAATATTAAGGTAATTTTATATACGTCGAACGTATATAAACAGTAAATACTCTGTAAAAAAACATTATTATGCAAAAATTGTCTGATAGTCTTTTTGAAGTAATAGTATTATTGATGGACAATAAACTAATCAAATGTATCTAAAAACAAACTGAGAAACTATTTTTGACAATAATTGAATGAATCATCCTGTTATTGATGATTATAATCATATAAAACTTATTCTTATTAATAAAATAAAAAAGAGTCTATCATAATGCTGACAATATCTAATAGAGTTAACATATATAATGGAACTGAGGTTATTTGCAAAGTATAATTTTGAAAAAGATTTCATCAATATGTATCGGATAGTTGTTCATTCTTTTGAATACTGTTCAGCAGTGACATCCATTGATTGTTGATTATTATTCGTTATGTAAGAGTTGTGCAAATTTATTCTGTCTGTCTGGCTCCTACTATATTGGTAGTAAACGAGGATAGGTCATTCATTATCTTTCGTTTCATATTTACTCACTTATCATCTAGTAAATAAAACAACTGACTTTCTCTTCTCATTTCTTTTCTTCTTTTCAAACATGCCAGGACTTACTGATGCAAACTTAACTGAAATTCGTGACGGTAATAAAAGCAATAACGTTTATATATATATATATATAGTTTTTTCTTTTCTAGTCTTTAGTTTATATGATGATCGAGGAGATAATCATATACCAAAACATTATTTAGGTGAAGCACTTCGAGCACTAGGATTAAATCCTACAGAAGCTGAAATTCGTTTTCTTTTAACTGATCTTCAACGTATAGAACGGTTATCGATGCAACAATTTCAAATTATTTTCGAGCGTTTAAACCAACGAAAAGATAATGTTGTACCGGCAGAAGAATTTATTGATGGTTTACGTGTTTTTGATAAAGATGGAAATGGTTTAATCCCAGCAACTGAATTACGTCATTTATTAACAACATTAGGTATAAATAAATCATAAGACAAAAAAAAAGATTTTGAATGAAATATTTTATTATTTAGGAGAACGATTAACTGATGATGAAGTTGAACAACTTATTTCTGAATTCGAAGATAAGAAAGGAATGATTATGTATGAAGATTTTATTAAAGCCGTACTTCAACATTAGAATGAAATAAAATATAATTATGTATATTTTTCATTTATTTAGCTTAATTATCGAATAATTTTTATTGTTTATTGTTTTATAATAAATATACTCGAATAATTTTTATGGGTCTTGAGAAATAGGTTTTTTCATGATATAAAATAATCGAAATGCATTATGAAAAATTTTAATCAAGAATTACTTTACTAGGAAGAAAAATTAGAATTTGTATGTCCTTTTTGAAAAGTACATATAGAAAAATTAAGAAGTAAAGTTCTACATTGAGCAGCTATGAGTTAGTATAAATCGATATTCACACATCTCATAGTAAATGTTATAAAATTCTTCTTTATATAGAATCATTTTCAGGAGTCCTGAATTTTGCCGCTGACGAATGTCCTATTGGCGAAGAGACAGTAAGCCGTTGTTTCACTACTATCAATTGAGTATATGTAATCATGATGTATTGCATCAATTATATGAGATAGCTATCAATAATGATAGATTTGTTTGATTTGCTAAGCCAATACGTTAAGTGATTCTACACTAGACTGAATTAGAAAGTGTCAAATATATTTATATATAAAAATCAAATCTTATCATGAATCGTTTTTAATAATGGATCAACGCATTTAATACAGACCATCTGGTCTTCATTCTCACTACATTTAAATGATTTTATAATAATAGAATAATAATTTTGAAAATAAAGTAATCAACAATGAAGTTTCTTCTTCTTTTATTTTTATTTGATCATATTTCTGCTCTCAATCCAGTACAGTTTCATGAATATTGTATTATTGGAGCTGGTCCAGCTGGTTTACAATTAGGATATTTTCTTCAAAAAGCTAAACGAGATTATATTATTTATGAAAAAACTTCTCAAGCAGGTAAAAATGAAATAAAATTCAATTAATCAAAATTTCTTAATAATTCTTATTAGGTTCATTTTTTATTGATTATCCTCGACATCGTCGATTAATCAGTATTAATAAACGTAATACAGGAGAAAAAAATCGAAAATTTAATTTAAGACATGATTGGAATTCTTTATTATCTGATAATGAACAATTAAGATTTACTCATCGTTCGAAGCAATTATTTCCATCAGCTGATCTTATGGTTGATTATTTAAATGATTTTCATCGTTATTATCATCTTCATATACAATTTAATACTACTATTCAAAATTTAAAACCAATATCGAAACAAACAACAACTTGTGATTCAAAAGATTGTTCATATTCAATGATTTCTCGTTTTCAAATGAACGATCAACATGAATTTCCATATACTTGTGGGTCAGTTTATCATATATATAAAAGTATTTAAAAAAAGATGTTTTTTTAGAATTGTTATTGTCGCAACAGGTCTAAACATTCCAAATATTCCGCCAATAGCCGGTATCGATCTAACTACTGGTTATGAAAATCTCTCACTCAATATTGAAGAATTTGAAAATCAATCTGTTTTAATCTTAGGTTAAAAAAACATCAGAGATGGATCTAATATTTAAAAAATTTTAGGTAGAGGAAATTCAGCATTTGAAGTCGCTCAACATATTTATGATGCAACGAATTTTATTCATATGATCTCTCGATCACGTGTACGTAATGCTTATGCAACACATTATGTTGGTGATTTAAGGTTTGACAAGAAAAATCCTTATTCTATAATTTAATATTTTTTCCAATAGAGCGATTAATAATCAATTGCTTGATACATATCAACTTAAATCACTTGATGCACTTATTGAAATTGATTTAATGAATCATGAATTATTACAAAGATCAATTGATGGTCGTATTCAACTTAAACGTAAACAATCGGATATGATTACATCTATTCATGAACGACAAGAAACAACAATATATGATCGAGTTATTCGATGTTTAGGATTTAAATTTGATAATTCAATTTGGCATCCGTAAGTATAAAATATTTTCTTATGAGTCTAGTTAAGACGATTATAAAATTAACTATTATCTTTATGGATTAATCAAAAAATATTTTTTAATTCTATTAATGAAACAGATTGCAAGGTTAATAGTAGAATTTTTAGTTTTGATCTACAGCCAATCGAAATACAGTTTTATATGAACTTCTATAGATATATAAATATTTAATTATTCTTTTGAAACTCATCAAACTGGTTCCTGAGACATAAGACATTTATCATGCGTCTCTCTGTCGTCTAATCAGCCTTTCGAAACAGGTTTTTCTTTGTTTATGTCATGTTCTCGTATTTCAATTGTAACATCTTATACTGATAAAAAGGCTTTGTATCCAAAAAAAACTGGTTCTAAATAAATGCACTATTGATGATTCCAATGAATTACTAAATAATCAATAGTCTCTGAATGTAAATAGAACTAGTATTGATATAGATGTTAGACTAACTATTCTATCTTATTTATTTACCTACACTCAACACGATCTCTTAGAGAATGTACTGCAAACATAAGTTACATAACAATTATCAAAACTCTAGACTTATTTCAGCAATAAACATCATTTTTTTCTCTAAAAGAGATATTCAAATGGAAGAAAATCTTGGTCGAACAAGTAAATATCCAAAAATTCGTTTTGATTATCAATCATTCAATCATGATCATTTATATTTTGCGGGAACATTAACACATTCAATTGATTTTCGAAAATCATCTGGTGGATTTATTCATGGTTTTCGTTATACAGTTCAAGCACTTCATAGAATGTTTGAATATCGTTATCATGAACAAAAATGGCCATCGATCATTTTATCATACCATTCATTAACAAATTATTTAATTAAAAGAATGAATGAAGCTGATGGTATCTACCAAATGTTTGGGCAATTAGTTGATGTTATATTAATAGACAGGTGCTTTGATTTTAGTTTTTTTTTACTTTAAAATTTAATCGAATCTATCAATAGAATAAATCATCAATGTCGATATCTTGAAGAATATCCTATACAATTACTTCCACATATAGAAGAAATAACTGGTTATACTTCAAATAATCTACTGATATTAAATATGCAATATGGTATGAATTATTCTGGTGCAGGTATATATAGAGAATGTTTTTCTTTTTGATTTGAATAATTATTCCATTTTTATTTGAATGAACAGGTCGTGATGTCTTTGCATTTGATCGAGTTTCTGCTTCGGTAAATACAGCTGATCGATCAAATTTTCTTCATCCTGTTTTATATTATTATAATTCAACATTAAATGGTAAATTGAAATAAAAACAAAATAAAAAAATAACAAAAATTTTCGTTTTAGAAACTGATTTTAATGATATAAAACCTGGTTTTTTACCAATAACATCATCTGTTCGTATCCATCATATTCTTGAAAATGTTCTTACATTATGGATGCAATCTGATGAACATATTTTACCATTAAGAATTTACTTAGAAAATATTCTTAATATTGATTTACAACAACGAACTATTGTTTCATCGGCACGAAGAAAATTACTTGAAAAAAAATTAACCATTCCTATTTCATTTTATGCCTCACTTTGAAATATTTTCGAATAGAATAAATCATTGTTATCTTATAAAAAATGATCTATACAAGAAATTATTCTGGATGAGAGAATATGAAAGAATTCTGATTATAAAAGATATTTTTAGTTAGTCTATCACACCTGTTCAATCGATCTAACGAAATTTTTTCATCTGATAAGAATAAAAGAAATTAACACAATACATTCTTCTACAGTGTTAATATGGAGAAGAAACAAAACTAGAAAAACACATTTCGTATTATATAATACATTGAAAAATTCAATTTACAGTCATTTAATGTCAATAAAAAAACACATCGTAATCTTATTCGAAAATCTATCTATCATATAAATCAAGTGCAAATACGATTCAATCTATGAATGATTCCTATTCTTTTTCACACTCAATAGTCTATATTTCTTAAGCCGTTAGTTTAATTATTCTATGACGTATACATCAATTCGTTCCAGATTTGCCTTTCACGTCATATATATATATATATTTGTTAAGAATAGACAGTCAGACATATAAATTCACTTCAATTCTTTCGATGAGATCATCTTCATCAGTCAAATGAAGATGTGCTGTGCTGCTGCTTCATGGGTGGTAAGTGTAATTTAAGCTATGCAGTCACTTTTCTTTCTCTTGTGACTAGATCTATCTAATTTCGTTCGTCGTCATCATCATTGTCTGTCTTAACCATCTAAAGTTAATCACTTGTGTAAGATGATCACACTTTCAACAACAAAATACCCTTATACATTATATAAATATATAGTCTTAAAACTTCTCGATTTGTTTCATTTGTTTTATGTATATGTTCACTATATGCAATTTCATCATTCTTATAGACTTACGCAATAAAATACACAAGGATCAAGTGTACGATTAGATTCATTTTTTTTTTCTTAAATTATAGTAGTGAATTCATCCAAGCGATATACATATATAGAGAGAGAAGGAGGAGCGGCATCATTTATATGTGATGCCATCGATCCAAACTCAATTCTCTTTTATACATTTACGCTATTTTACACAGCAGTATGTTAGCCCATCAACAGCTTTAAGAGATACTCAACTAACATGTTACGGTTCATCGATGATTATCGACAACTATTTGATATAATGACATCATCACCAATTGAGACAGACAATAATTAACTCAGTTTTTAGTTTAATAATCCAAACATGTTTCTTTCTTTTTCCTTCCTATATCAATATATTTTATTAGGATTACAATGCCACTCTATCATTGATAGTAGTAGTTGTTATGGGTCATTGTCGAATGTTCGAAGAGATAAATTGTATACATATATAAATTAATACATGTGCAAAACAGTACTTCTTCTTTCAAAGAAGAGAAGATGATGATGAAGAAATTACCGCTCCTCTCTGATGTATACTGATCATCATCATCAGCTCGTTTTTCAGTCTCGCGGTAGACTTCTTTAGTCCACTATAGAGTCAACTTCAGAACGAACGAACGAAAGAGAGAGAGAACGCGAGTGTTCATTCATATTTTTTTTCCTTCTCTCTCTTTCTCTCCTCCTTCTCTTTCGATAGTGGAACGATAGAAAGAGAGGAGAAGAAGAAGAGAAACAAGAGATCTATATTTTCTCTCTCTTACATCTCTAAACGAAGCGTGAATACATTTTTGATATTATTAAATAGAATCACGAACTGTATATAAAACATATCTACAGACGAAGACGAACTGTACATTACTTTTTTTTACAATGTTACTATATCTATTTTTAATCATTTCAAGTTTTTCAATTACATTTGCAGATACTTCAGGTAAATATAGAAAAATAAAAAAAACTCTTGATTACATCAGAAAAATTTATTCTATTCGAATGCACCAGATGATGATTGAGTATACACGCATTATATATGGAACCAGTTTGTTCTTTGAATCATTCAAAGAAGAAGAAGAAGAAAATTGAAAGTGGTTTTAATTTAATAACTAAATAAATATATGCACATCATAACAATAGATTACGTTATTTGTTAGCTTAAAGCTATTTTCGATAAAAATTAACAGAAAACGGAAATCGAGGGTTATAATAATGATACCGGCGACGACATATTTAAAACATTGTCATTAGAAGACACACACACATGAGAAAAAAAAAGAAAGAAAGAGAGTGTTTCTGTCTGAAGTATGTTCATCCATCAAATTCTATTTTCGACTCCCTACTATGAGAATATAATAAATGTCTTTGTATTTGTTAAGAGATATACATTGAAATTGAAACATGATTAACGTTTTCTTACTGACTGACTTATCATCGATAATGATAGTTTACTTGATTTTTACCTTGTACTAATTTGAAAATAAATCAGATACATCTCTAGATAGATAAACAGATGAAAAAGAATCAAATATTCATCATCTAGACAAAAATAAGATATTAGTTATCTTTTTTTTGAACGAACAAATATTTTGATAAGTTTTTCTTACTCTCATTGCTCATTCTTGTGTCGACATTCCACGACAGAACTAATCGGTTACATATATATGTATAATTATATCGTGCTCTTTTCATGACAAATAAGATTGTATGTTCTTTTCTTATAGCAGATCAACCCAAATTTGATCGGTCACATGAAACTATTTCTGTTGTTGTCGGTAAACGAGCATTATTACCATGTTACGTATCAATACAAGATGCTAATAATAATAATAATGGAAATAATCCATTTAAAGTAATTATTAAATATTGATGAAAAGAATACTTAGAATAAAATTTTTTTTCTGTTCAGATTATTTGGATGAAATTAAATAATAGTTCAATTTTAACAATGGAAGATCGAGCTATTAATGGTGATCCACGTATATCATTATTACATGCATATGCTGATGAATGGAATTTACAAATTGATGATATTGATGAAGATGATGCAGGGATTTACCGATGTGTGATTAATACAGGAATATATAAAACATTAACATTAGATGTCAAAGGTAAAAATAATTAATAGGAGAAAAAAAAATATTTTCTAATAAAATTATATTTCAGTCCCACCGAAAATAATTGATGAATTAACAACAGAACCTTATCCACCACCGATAAGATCCGGTTCAAATTATACAATTAAATGTTATGCACATGGAAAACCAATGCCTAAAATTCGTATTATTTCATATGACCAAACAGACAATGCAAAAAGTATGATCTTCTTCAAAAAAATAAGAATCTCTTAAAATAACAATGTCTAATTGAACAGTTGAGGTCTCTCGGACATTTTAATATGTATATAGAACAACAAAAACAACACAACGAGCTTTATATTAGTAGTGTCGAATAAAGAGAGGATAATTGAGCCACTCGATTCTGTAAAGGCTTCGCATTTCATTGGTTTCAATGCATTATATATATACATATATTTCTTTTGTTTCTATATATATATAGTTATCAGTGATCAAAATGAAGTAATACTTTATAATGTATCTCGTCATACACGTCGTCGTTATGAATGTATAGCTAGTAATAGTTATCCACCGGATGTTGCACGTTCATTTCAATTAACAATACAATATGCACCTGAATTAACTCTTGCTCTTATATCTGAAACAAATGATGAATTAACATCATCATTATTATTTATTGATTCAAGTCAACATGAAATTCGTCTTAAATGTCGTGTATTAATGAATCCATTAGATAAAATTTATTGGATGAAAGATAATAATAAATTAATTAATGATTATCATATACATCAATATGTATCAATATATATGGAAAATTATATTATAGCTGAACTTGTTATAAAAGATTTTTCAACTAATGATCAAGGTGAATATACATGTACAGCATCGAATATACTTGGAACTCATTCAAAAAGTATTCAATTAATTGCGACATTAACGACGACAACAACTTCTACTACTTCTTCTTCATCGACAACAATGCAATTATCAACTTCACGATTAATTATTTCACGTCGTAAACGTCCGAAACATACTCGAACAACAACAATATCACAAAGAGAATACTATCGTTCAACAGAAATCTTACGAGAGATGACTATCTCATCATCACAAGGTAAATGATGATGATGATGAATGTGTTTCTTTATTTTTTGTTGGTCCATTCAATCAAGGTCAATATTAGAGAACTAAATAGATATCGATTAGGATTGAGCAAAAGAAGAAAAAAATTTGTCACGACCTTTTTCTTCTCCATTTCAGTTCTGATTGATGAGACGAGAAAGATATAGAAAGAAAATGTCCTGAGGAAAAAAGAAGAGCTAAAACTACTCAATTAATTCAATTGAAAAAGACGTTTAGGAAAAAAACATCAAACAAATCATCTTAGCGGCCACTTTACTATGATGATGATAATTTGAGCTAAATAGGTCAATATCATTCTTGATTATCTACTGTCTTTTTTTTTTCTCTAGCTATTAATACTAAATACCAAATGATGACATTATATGTTCTTCTATTGGTGGCGGCTTATTTCTGAATTATATTGTTCAACAAAGATGCCAAAACGACTGTGATAATAGTATAACTTTTCTCTCTCTCTCAGGTATGTTTGTTCGATTTGTTGGACATAAACTATTTCTTTTGTTTTTAGTATTCCAGTGATGATGCCATGCGGCTGGATGTCTGTTGATCATTTTGTCGAGATAAACATTCGTTGTTGTCTCTCTATTTGCTTTCTTTCTATCTTTTTTTTGTTTCATATAATATCAACGAAAATTTCTTATTTTTTTTCTTCTCTTGTTAAATAGAAATGTGTGTTTGTGCGTGTATGTGTGTTTAATAAAGATGAAAAATAAGCAGCAAGCTCGATGTCATATTATTTTGTTGCTTGATTGTTTCGAACATGTCTCGGTGATGTTTGCATTACTACAATCACCGGATATTTGACCCCTGTTGAAGAGAAAAGTAATAATAATGAGCTTTTTTTTCTATAAATATAAGCCGCTAATACCTTTTCGGTCATTCGAATGTACAATTTTTTTCCTTCTATCTGACTGATTTGATTATGAATAAGTATGGTTTCACATTGGATTAATAGAAGTTATGATTGAAATCTGTTTCCTCCTCTTATCTGATGAATTTTTGTCATATCTAATGAACTTTATTCTTCGTACTCAAATGACTAATGAACAAAAACATGAATTTTTAGTATCAGATTTCAATCTATATCCTTAAACAAACGTCTTTTCAATGTATGTATGTTTAAATAAGATCGCTAAGAAGATGAATGTTGATTGCATAAAAAGAAGAAAATCGGCAATGTTTACATATCTCACCCGTTTGTGCCGCTTCTATGAGCTTGCGTCAACAAAAAAACAGAGAGAGGGAAAGCTTTACTTCTTTGTTGTTTGTTAATCGCCAATGTATATACATATATGAAGAGTCTCTCTCTATTGATTAACATCGCACATATAGAAAGCAAATGGAGCCGCACTAAATTGATATTCAAATGGATATGATAGTTATTAGGAAGACATGACAACATATTTCTTTTTTTTTGATGAACAAGACATATCCATTGAGATGACTATTTAGATTTCACTCATCGTAAGGTGTGTTCTTTGATCGTGATGTGTATGTGGCACTTTAGACTAACTGTAGCGAGAGAAAGAAAAAAAAATAAACGATAAATCTATGCGGGAAGCCATAATAAACAGTTGACAAGATGGCAGACATTCGGTGATCTGTCGAATGATATTCAATACATTGTCAGAAACAGACACAGATTGAATAGGGCGTTTCCTCATATACACATCGATGAATGCTGTTACTCTTTCTGTCAGATGCAATTAGCTTTATGCGACAAGATTTATATTTATGATATCACCTTAAGATAGTATCGAAATGAACATCGAAATAAAAAGCAGATGGGGGAATAGAAAATTGAAAAATTAATTAGCTTTTCTTTTATCTGATAGAAAGAAGAGCCCTTAAAAAAGTAGCTTAGATGCTTGACACAAAAAAAGAAAATGAGAAATGTTACTTAGTGTCAAAGAAATAGATAATTTCAAAATGAATAGATGAAATTTATTCGAGAAAGATTCTTTTGTTTGATATAAACAGAGAAGACAAAAAAATCTTTTTTCTTTTTTTTGTATACTCAATGAGAAGATCTATGTCAATAGATAAATTTCATATCATGTTTTTGTTCTTTTCAAATTTTCTACCATTTATCATCGATCATTCTTTTGTTTATTTATCAAACTGATTCATATACAATCTTGTCTTTATAAGAAAAGAAAATGAAGAGTAAACGATTGAATATTATTTTATCGTATTATTACTTATGCGGAATACTCAATGATTTTATTTGAAGAAGTCTGAGAGATTTTGATTTTAATACAGGATGTTTGGATGATTTCATCATTAAATAAATTTCAAAAATGCTCTTGAAAGCAATCATTGAAAGACCTTGAAGACAAAAAATATATTGTGTTATTGTTTATCATGGAATATACAAAACTAAATTTATTTTTTAAACATATATTGATTATCGGAACGTAATTGTTCATTTTTTATTAAATTTAAATGATATCAGAAGGTGATTTGGATAATGTGATTCTCGAAATAAAGATTTTACTGAATCTTATAAAATATGTGTTCATACCTTTGATTAAATAATTATTTAGGATAGTTTTGTTTGTTTGTTAATTTGTCAGAATTGTTCAGTAAAGTCAAGTTTTCTTTTATTTCATAAATTAAATTACACATTATTCTATAAGAAATAGCAAAAAGAAAGTTCATGACAGAGATTGTCATGGACTAGGGATGGGCAAAATCAGGTTTTTTTGGACTCGGAATCGGATCGTTAAGAGTTTTATTTATTTTTGATATCGTATCGGAATCGCGAAATTTAATTTTTTTAGGTTTGGAATCGGATCGGAATCGTGAAAATCAATGTTAAGAATCGGCATTAGAATCGTCTATGTTAAACTTCTTTGAATTCTGTATGATATGAGTTTTACTCGTTCTTTTCGTTTACATGAAAAATATTTAATTATTATTATTAATTAATAGATCCTTGTTTTTTTTTAATTATTTTTGTAATGCTTTGAAATCATTCAAATCTGGAACAATTAATTTAAGCTCTTATTTTTGAAAATAATATAACCAGAAATGCTACCGATACCAAAACTTTTGTATGTTGAGATCGGAACCGGTAATAAGTTTTTTTAGAATCACATCGGAATCGTACAGTTTAAATTTTGTAAGCATCGCAATCGGAATCAGACTCGCTGATTTCCGGTTCCTATGTGGTATCGCTCATGCCTACATGGACCGAGCCAAATTTGAATGAATTTGGATTGAGCTTGAAACACTAGAATCTCTGATGATGAATAAATTAGTTTCAAAAATTTCTTTTTTCAAAAGTCTGAACACATCTTCTACTATTGATTGTATTTTTAACTGCCGCAAAACATTCATGCATTAGTTTTACTTTGTCAATGAAAGTCAGATTCTTAATTTTAGTGTACAACACAATTTCCAGTTAACTCATTAAAATATGAAACATATAAAATAAACATTTAGTCGTTCTAAAAAACTAGGGTACACCACAGTCGTGTATAAATATATATTGAAAAAGTTTTCTTTTTGTATTTTTCTAACAGAATGTATAAAGAAAGTATTGACGTCATCTAGTTTTATATGATTATAACAAATGGGCATTTTTTCGATAAACCACCAGTTTCCATCGGTTCTTTTCAAAAAGAAAAATGTTGAAATTATTTATCTGAGTGTAAAAACTGTATGCCGTAGCAATACAGTATTAAATCATTTTTTTGTTATTAAAAAAGCAGTTAAAAATCTTATGTTATAATAAAAAATTGATTTATTAAATAGAATATATGTTACCATTATCACAACGAAAATAAATTTGAGTTGTATCATCATAAAAAAAATCATTTACAATCAAATATTCTTGAGTTAATCACTCTTTTATCTTTATTTATTTTCGAAATAACAAAAATAGTATAGTTACTAAAATAAAATCACCTTTCTCAATAATAAACAAGTGTAACGTATTAATTTTAACATGAAACATGTTGTAGTAATCTATAGAAAGAAAAAATTTTGACCTAATTTTCGTAAGTTAATAAAATAAAATAAAAAATGGTACGCTATAGTGAAAGGCAGAGGGAGAGAAAGAAAAAAAACACAGAGCCTTTATCCTTTAATAAATATTTTACATTTTATTCAAACTTACATTTGTTCTATTAGTTGAAAATATTGTTAATTATGGCACCAGGGAGAGTTTTTTTATTACTTTTCTTTGTATTTATTACACAAGCAGTTGCAGAAGATATAGGATCAGATCCAATGACTGTATTAGATGGATGGAAGTTTCACTGTGCTGCTACAACGTGTTTAACGTTCGTTAATCTCTATACACGAGATATTTCAGATTGTCAAATGGCTTGTTTAGCTCAAAGTGAATGTGTAGCATTTCGTTTTTATTTATCAACTTCTAATTGTGAATTCTTTACTGATATCTCAGATCAAAATGAAAATATGATGACTGATATAGATACTAATACTATTATTGTTATTAGTGAAACAAGATTTCTACCTGGTTAGTATAAATATTATCAATTTAGAAGAAAAAATCTTTTGAAATGACATAATTATTTGACTGAAAAATTGTTTTATTCAAGAGAATGAAAATCTTTAAAAAAAAACTTTCTTTCTGTATAGTCAGCGAAGGACCGATTTCGATACAAATAAAACTGAATGAACGCCATGTCAATTGTTTATTTGTATGATTAAATCGAATTAATTAGATAAGAGAACTGATATTATTTTGCAATGAAATCATGTATTGAAGACATCATATCGAAAAGAATGACATTCCTAGTAGTTTGATCTAGAGAACTTATATTCGATACTAAATAACAATGTTCGACAGTTGGAGAATTTGTTAATGAAATCTATAGTTGAAAAATAGCTTCTGTTCTGTTGAGGAACTAGCTTTTACTTAATATCTAGTAAAAGACTTAGGAAGATTATCTGAGAAATTCGACTATAAAATAAAATATACGAGCTATCAAATATGAGTAGAATTAATGGACGTAATTATTGTAGTCACTGGTAAACACAAGAGAATATTATTCTCTACATTTTCCCTAAATTATGATCTAGGCAATAGCAACATTGTCTAGATACTAAATAAATCAATCTACATACGTAATACAAAAAGTCTCATTACTAAAGTTTTAATAGGTAAAGATTCGTTTGTTAAAATTGTTATGTTATATATTTGATTACAATAAAGATCATAGTACAATAAACGTTAGATGACGCATCTAAATATATATATTATCTTCTTATAAAATATATATAATTACAATCGATATATTATTACAATAGAAGATATAATAGACTATGAGAAAAACTTTATCCAATAATCTTGTCTAATTTTAAACTTATTTTTTAGAATTAGAATCAACCACGACATCAACATTATCACCATTGACAACATCATCCACATCAATAGCAACAACATCATCGTCAACATTATCGTTATCATCATTATTGACAACATCATCATTAACAACAACATCGACATCATCTTCACCAACAACAACAATAACAGAAACAGAAACAACATCTTCATCACCAACATCAACAACAGAAACAGAATCTTCATCAAAGTCAGCAACAACAACAATAACAGAAGCAGAAACAACATCTTCATCATCAACATCAATAACAATAACAGAAACCACATCATCATCATTAACAACAGAAACAGAATCTTCATCATCAACAACATCGAATATATCAACAA